GATGGGGTAGCATAATATTATGTTGAAATTTGATTTCACACTCTATTTTGAGTAAAATTGAATTTTGCACTATGTTTTTTAAATACTACTTCCGTCCCGGTGGACTTTGCCAACTGCAAAGTAGGTGAGAAATAAGAATAGTTAAAACTGTGTGGTTGAAATTTGTGCAGAGGAGAGAGAAATGTGCAGAAACACAAATTAGTTGTTTTAATAGGAAAGTGACAAAGTTTTTTAGGACAACCAAGAAAGTTGTCAAAGTCCAATGGAACGGAGGGAGTAATTAATTTGTATACTTCATCCAATATTTGATTTAAAAAGTTAATGTTTGAACTCAACTACTTCACAAACTTTTGATTGAATGAGAGCTCATACATTCAATTTTGAAATGAGGTTCAAAGTCAAGTCTACCCTAATATTATATAGACATATTTGTTCAAAGCAAGTGTAATATGTAAGTATGTTTCATAATATGGTGACCTAGTCTGGTTTGATATTATATCGCTTTGAAGTAAATCACAAAATAGAGTCCTATTACTTGTGATTTAATAGCAATGTAGATTTTGAGTATATAGGAAGATATGTCTTCACAGTCCGCATGACAGCTGAGTTGGTCACATGGATGAAATTTGGTGCAAACAACTCAGGATTGAGTCTCGCGAGCGGCAGTGTGGGAGTAACCACTCAAAGTAAGATGGACTACTTGTACACAACGAGCATTGATATAGCAGACCTCTGTACTTAGCTGAATTACGTACTATGATTTACAACCCCCTTATATGTAGTATGTTCTACCGAGCCGAGGCGTGAGGAGCCATTGGGTTGGAGATTAACCTTTTGGAACAAGGAAAACAAGCTTTCTCATAAATCGTAACAATCTCATCATTTAGGATGAAGAGTGTTAAATCACATGTACAAGTTCAACCACCATTGAACTGACTGAGTCAACGTGACTTACTACCTCCGAATGTGTTATCAGGTCGCGACGTGCGGGGCCATTGAGATTGAGGATTCAATTTTTGGAACATTAGGATGAAAAGTATTAAAACCCCAACTAACAAAAAAGAATTAGGTGGACAAATTGTTTGGTCAACAAGACATGAAAAATATGACAGCCCCTATTATTTGCAGTCCTTTCACTCCTTTTAAATACGCACAGTACTTGAGGCGCCATTGTACTGTACTGTACACACACAACACAGTGGGACTGTAGGAGAGGAGAGAAATATCCTGCCTGCGCGCTGCTGCTTCATCAAGTATCAGATACTCTGCATTTTCTTGTTTTGTTTGTTCACGCGGACAGTGAGCTACCATAGTTTCTTCTTGTGTGTTGGTTGGTTGCAGGGACGTATCCAGGATTTCGAATTAAGGGGTTGAAATTTTTTGTTAGAGTAGCGGGTTTTTTTGGGGAAAAGTACGGAAAAAGTACTTGTGGTTAGACCCATTTTCAGATAGGGTCATGTGTTTCATTCTTTATCAAAGTGGTTCATGTGTTTTAATTCCGTTATCTCAAGAGGGTCACGCCGTTAGAAACGTCTGAAAAAGACTGTTAAAGGTAATCCGATTTTCAAAAGTGCCCGAAAAATTAAAAGAAATACTGAAAGGTGTGCCTCGTCAAGATGACCTTCAAACCATCTTCGCCTTTAGATTTTTCAGATCTGTTTGAATTATTTTTTAAAAATGATTTCGTTAATATCACTTTTCTGATGGACTTTCCGGTGACAAGGGTTGGTGAAAACAAAAAAGAAAGATGGCCTAACGGTCGTCTTATTGAGGCACACCTTTCGATATTTTTCCTTTGTTTTTCGGGCACTTTTGAAAATCGGAGTTATTTTTAATGGTCTTTTTCAGACGTTTTTAACGGCGTGACCCTCTTGTGATAACAGAATTCAAACACATGAACCAATTTGATAAAGAATGAAACACATGACCCTATCTGAAAACGGGTTAAACCACAAGTACCTTTTCCGTACATTAACGGAATTCACTTTTTTTTTCTATGGTGTGACGGGTTGAACTTTTTTTGCTAGTGTAGCGGGCTGAATTTTTTCAACAGTGTGAGACTCTGCGGTTATTTTTATTCAAAAAAATTCATTAATACATACATGTTGACATTTAAATCTATATCTTTAATTTTATAATTGAAGAGCTCTAAAAAAAGTATCGACACATTAAATCGTAAGAAATGACAAATAAAAGGAAAATAATTTGAAAATAAAAAGGATATATAACGTTTTATTTGAAGATAAAGAGTTTATAAGGAACACATTCACCAATACTTTTAAAACAACTTCTAAATTGTCTAAATACATGAATCTTATAAAAGTAAATAACGTGTTTTTAAATTACAATTTTTATCTACCAAGGAGGGTGTTAATGAGTCATGGGGACTTTTTTTTATATTATAATAGTATGTATGAGGTTATTCTTTTTACAATAATATTATATTGGTAATTCATATATATAGTGCATATTATATTTGTATTAATGCTAAACTAAGTTAAAGTTTATTATCTATGCAATAAAGTCTTTTTAGAACGTAAGAAGTAAATGAATTGTGTAATTTAATATCAATAAAAATTTATATTTTGGACTCACTTCACATCGTTTGTAAACTGTGTGACTAGTGTGTCCGGTATTTAATATCGTTTGTTATATATTTTACAAAATTGAGTACTAGTTATCAAATAAAGATAATTAAACATTTCAAAACTAAGAATTTTTATATAATAAGTATCATAAATCTTAAACAATGAATTTTCCTATTGTTTATTTATTTAAGTTATGTAAATTATCTTAAGTGTTTCTTCTTTTAAGTCTCCAAGTAAGTATTACATTATTTAAGACTATAAATCAATTTTTAAAACTAAAAGTTAAGGAGGCCGAATATAATCAAAGTATGAAAATTTTAGGAAAATATTACATATATTGTAGAAAACTTTGAAAGTCCAAATGGGGCGATCGCCTCTCCCATCCATCCCTGGCTGGCTGGCTGACTAGTGCAACCATACCCATTGAGCTTTGTGTTATTCACAAACAATGCATATTCCAACCAGAGAAGCAATCTCATCAATTTTAAATACATTGTGACAAATCAATCTCCACATTACCCATCTATAGATGTATTATGTATATAATGCGCTAATCTGAGAAAATAGAATGCACACTTTTGACCATTGCAGGAGAATTTGGCTCTACACCCATTTTCAAAAAGTAATATTTGCAGCCTTTCGAGTTGAATAATATTTGGCAAGTGTTTTTTCTATTTTTAGTCATAATTGTTATGTTTTTGATACTTAATTTTTCATTTTTAGTCATTTTATTGTGCGACACATTTTTAGTATTCGGGTATACTACGTATTTACTAAAACAGCAAAAATTTCTATAATATGACTTACGAGTCAATTATCCAGTAGAAGACCATAAACTATCCTACACGAGTACTGTATGTTTAAAATTGAATGAAATCGAATATGTGCAAATAACACACTAAGAATAGAATTTCATGGAGCAATGTATCAGAAAAACATATTCTTCAGTCACAAGAAAGGTAATTTTCTCTTAAAATTATTCATCGTGAATGTCCACCACCAGATTTGTAAAGACTTTGTTAATATTCATTTTGTTTTTGTTTGGGAAAGTCCCGAAATAGGGCTAAAAAAAATTTAAAATTCCAAAATAGAATTGTCATTTATTTTATTCCCAAAATAGAAGTAATTACTGCCATGTTTGAAGTCTGGTACTGCCAAAACATTGCAGTAATTAGTCCTATTTTGGGAATAAAAACATGACAATAATATTTTGGAATTTTCAAACCTTTTTAGTCCTATTTCAGATAATATTCTCTCTTTTTTTGGGATAACATATGACTTTAGTACCCTCAACTTTGACACCATCATAACAATTGGGATGCAAGAACTACTTTCTAAATTTTGGTGTAATCCGGTATGCTCTTTACTTCATCTGAAATAAATTGAAGTACTAAAGTAATCTTTTTCTCAACCCAAATTTTAGAACATTCACATGTATGTGCGTATTCACATAGATTGAATAAAATGTAATAATTCCAAAACAACAAATTTTAGGAAGTGTGACTAACCAATCCAATAGACCAAGACAAAGGAAAATGGATGGGGTGAAAAGGGGAGAAGAAGAAAAAACAATAACTTCTAATATGTCAAAAAGGAAAGTAGGAAGAACCGAAGAACATAAAAAGGAAAATGAAAAGAAATGAAGAATTCAAAGAAAATATAAACAAGTAGCAACAAAAAAAATTATAAAAAGAAACTACAACGAAGAGAAACACATAGAAAGGAAGAAAATATAAATGGGGGGAGAAAATATGAAAAAATTGAAAGAAAAAACTATAAAAAACTTATGGTAAATACATAATGGAATACATAAAACAATGTAAATAACTTAAAATAAAAGAAGAAAATTGAATAAGAGCATTGTGAGGAATTCGAGGATAAAGAAAAAAAGAGAAAGTTTTTAGGAAGAAAAGAGAAAAATCATAGGTGAGGGCGTTTTGAGAAGTTTTTTAGAAGGTGGGATTTATTATTTAATGATTTACAAAGGAAATGAAAAATCTGGAATTAGATGAAGTGCAAAGGTGATATTATTTGAGATTACGGTTAAGAAGATTATTCAAAGAAGACTTAAAAGTTGAGATTATTACGTACTCCCTCTATTTCAATTTCTTTGACGAACTTGCCGTTTTTGAACGTTTCAAAATGAATGTCACACTTCTTTATTTTCTTATTTGGTAAATAAATCTATATCAATAGAGTACAAAACAATGTTAAACAGTGTTCAAAACATGTACTCTACAGTAAAATTTATCCCTCAGTGAAATTTTTTCCTTAATCTCTGTGAAGTCAAAGTGTGTCAAACGAATTGAAACCCATGGAATAGTACTTTTCACTTTCCCTAATTTATTTATATAGAGTAGTACTTGATGATAATTCAAGTCTAGATTCCCAAGCATCAAAGACAACAAAACTGGGTGGCAGAACATAAAACTTCCATAAGAAAAAATGCGAAATGAATACATGCTAAAAGTCCTGAACTAAAATACATGCTACTAATCAATGCATGAGCAAGTTATTTACAGTATAAGAAATGGATCTATATCAAAATATACTGTTTTTATTCCAGTACTGACTGAAATCATTAGTACTGAAAGAGGATCAAGACCACTATTTTGGAACAGATTGATTCTACTTTTTTTTTAATCTTTCTGTTCCTTTTTAACTTTCTGACATGGGCTGGGGTAAAACATTGACAGCAGTAACTCACCACTTTCAACCCAGTGGTAATTAAAGTTTAATGATAGGGGGATTCATGTGGAATGTGAGTTGTCAGGAGGGGGGAGGTTGATTCTTGTTGGCAGCCAAAGCAAGGATGGAATTAGCAAGTCTGTTGATGGCATCTACAAGACCATTGATTCCCTGCCTGTTAATCTCAGCCTTTGATTCCTCAATCTGAAGTCTCCTCTCATGCAGGTTCAGCATCTCTCTGTGCCTTCTCTCCTCTCTCTCCTCACTTGACTGAATGGCTTCTGCTATCAAAGTGGCACTCCTTGAAATTGCAGGCCCAACTTCAAGGGAATTATTAGTGCTGTTTTTGTTTCCCCTCTCTTGTGTCCCCTCCTCTTCTCCCACCCTTCTTCTCTTTGCTTGTGAGTCTGATTGCTCACTTGTCTCAGGATCTGAGCTTTCACCCATCTCCAAAACACAAATGATCAAAACCAAAAAGAGGCAAATAACAAAAAAGCTAATTAATACTCAAAAAATCACTCCATCCCATGTAAATATGAAGCAAGTGTGATAATATCAGTTTATACTTATTAAGTTGAACCCTTTTTTTATGTTATTGAAATCCTAAAATCCCGTTCTTTACAATATTTGACTAATTAAAGTTAATTTTCCTATTATAGTAAATTTATTTTAATGGAGTAACTATCATTTAGAAATTACTAAAAATTTATTAGATCACAAAATTGAATTGCATATGAAAAAAATTTGAAATATAACAAAGATTTTCTTTTAATATTACTAAAAAAAACTCATTGATGAATATATGACCACATGATAACTACAATTAATGCGAAAACATCACAGCAAGAATCTCATAATAATCAAAGCATAATTAAAAAAGTACAAATAATGATTGATATTTTTTTTTCTACAAAATATTTTGAGACTAAGACTTGGTTAATATTAGTACATCAAAAACTGGAAGTAGTGGGACAGCTTGAGTTTTAATATGTAATGATTATACTAATAACTTTAATGATTATGAGGTTCCAATTGCAGTAATAAAATACTCCGTAATGTAATATAGTAAAATGATAGACCACATGAATAAAAACTACTCCCTCCGTCCCTGAATTATCTTCAAACTTTTCTTTTTCATCCGTCCCAAAATTATATACTCTTTCCCTTTTTGGCAAAGAATTTGTGGTTCACAATCATTCTTACACATTCTTACACATTTCTCTCTCCTCTGCCCAACTCCCCACCACACAAATCTCACTTATGTTAATAACTGTGCCCAGCCGAAATGGGAGAAAAAACAGGGACGGAGAGTAAAACAATTAAATTGGAGCTGGGGTAACACAAAACTCTATTGATTTAAAAAATAGTGGTACTAAATTACATACGGAGTATTTTTTGAAATAAAAATTAATTTGTGAATAACCTTTTTTTACAAACCCCACATACAAGTCCGAAATGTAGCATCCATTAAAAAATATGTGGAGAATTTGGTACTGAATAAAAAAATCGGTCAAAGCGGTCAACTTGTATGGGTAGCTGAGTTGTGGGGTAGATTTTAATGTAGCGACCCCAAGCGGCAAAAAAGGAAAGAAAAAGAGACACAAAAAGGAAGGAGAGGACATGAAGAACTTAAAGGCAAATTGTTTATCTTTGAGAATGGCAGGCACGTACAAGCTCCACAATCTTGCTGATTTCTTGATCCAGAATGTATATTTACAGTGACCAATCATTCTGGTGGTAATTAATGACGGGGGAAATTGAATCTTGACCAGAAGAGGGTGTTAAACTTGTGAGGGAAAATTAAATGTCAGAATGTGGGAGAAAGGAGTACCTACTGTGGGGAAGGATTGCGTAGTGGTAGGTGGCCGGTGGTGCTGAAAATGAAACGCCGGCGTCTGTGCTAGTGTAGCCGGCGGCGGAGGTGGGGGGAGTGGCAGTGCTGCCACGACTTGCGGAGGTTCAGGTGGATGGATTGGAGGGGGGAGCTGAGGGATGAAACCAGAGGTGGAAGCAGAGGCAGAGCCTCCGCCGCCACGGCTACCCACCACCGCTCTTTGACCGCCCCCGGCCCTCTTCTCAACAACGTCGATCAATGCCTCATAAATTTCACGCAGCATGTTGGTGGGCAAGTTGCAATCTTTCCTCTCAACCCTGTCCAGCTTCCAATATGACTTAACATTATTACCACCGTCACCGCCGCCGCCGCCGCCATGTGATGGTCTCTGTTGAGGATCAGACACTACTCTCCTCTCGTGCTCCCTCACCTTCTTGAAATCCCTCATCAGATTATCCCACTTGTCATTGCACTGGTTTTGGCTCCTCAGGCACCCATTGCTCCAGCAATAATCCTCCACCCATTTCCACCTGAGCTCCGGCGGTTTACCCCTCTCCCCACCGCTGCTCTCGCCGGCGTGCCTCCTCATTCTCCGCTCATCATCCATCCTCTTTGCCTCTATCAAAACCATCGTCTCTTGCACCGTCCAGTTCCCTTTCCTGTACTCCCTCGTCCCATTGTCGTTGTTGTTTCCACCACCCTGCAGATTGCTCACCACCACTTCCATGCAAGCCACACTCAAAGACTAAGATCAATGTCAATGGATAAAGAAGTTAAAAACAAAAAATAAAAACCCTTTTTTGCCAATGAGTTAAAGAAAGGCCTTGCCTTTATTTGGTCTAATATGAGCTAATGACAGATGAATAAAAAGTGGAGTATATGTATGTGCAAATAATACCACCACAAAAAGAACTAAGCTAAGATATCTTCTAGCCTAGTGTAGTGGTGAAAATTGTATGTGCAGTATATAGTTTGTGGGTGTGCTACTGTGATACTGTGATCTCCAGCTAGCACACTGTGGCCTTGGCCTTCTCTACAATCTTGGGAGCTCAAAACTTGTATATCTTCAAGAATTGAACAAAGTGATTCCAACTACTACTAGTCCACAGGATGGCTTTAGAGATTGTGGGGGTGGAGGAAGTAAGAAGAGAGTGAGGGGAGAGAGGAAGAGAGACAGTTGTAGAAAAGTAGGAAATCCTGACACTCAAAAAAGCCAAACAAATCCATTTCAACTGATATATCCACATCAATTCCTTTTTTTCAATAACATTAGTTTTCACCGAGCCAGGTTGTGAGAACTAATAAGTTCCTCTTCTTTCTTTCTTTGTTTTTTTGGTACTCCGTATTAAATTTGTGATTACAACTATACTAAAAGAGGACCGTGCCCAAACCCCAGGGCACAATAATTTCACACATGTAAATCCTAACAAGAGTATTACATTCTATCGGTGATTTGCTTCTCTAACTAGCTGTATCTTGTACTGCCTCCATCATGGTAGACTTTGACAAGTGCAAAATAGGTGAGAAATAAGAATAATAAAAACTGTGTAGTTGAGGTTTGTGTAGAGGAAAGAAAAATGTGAAGAACCACAAATAAGTTGTTTTAATAGAAAGTGGCAAAGTTTTTTGGGACAACCAAAAAAGAAAAGTTGACAAAGTTTTTTGGGACAAAGTTGTCAAATTCCAATGGGACGGAGGGAGTATATAAGTAGCGTGTAAAAAAATGAAAGAGAATCATCCCTCCCGTTCAACCAACTTCTGGTACTATCACAATAAACATTTTTATACCCGCAAGGGTGACTCAGTTGGTTGGTTGGTGGAAAAATTGAAAGAATGATCAAGGTTCGAAACTCGCAATGATCATGTGGAGGCTACAACTCCTGCGTGTTGGATTAGACCTCTGATGTGCACGGTATAAAGCTTATCACTACTGGATTGACTGAGTCACCGTGATTTACATCTTCTCATATGCTTTATCGAGCATATCAATATGTTTTGTTCGTTCATGGAACACATTATTTCGAGTAATGTCGAAAGGTGATTTGTTGTCACAGAATAGAACAGCTGGTTGCGTTTAATGGAATAGTTAAGCCTAAACAGCTCACACATAGTTTGAGCCATAGCTCAATATTCTGCCTCTGAAAAAGATCGGACAATTGTAGTTTGTTTCTTTGCTTTCCAAGAAATAAGAGATCCTCCTATGAAAATGCATGTAAATCTGAATCACTAAAACTTTGTAAATGAAAGTTTGAGTGAGTTGGATAAAGTAAGCCTGACCAGGAGCTCCTTTAATGTAGCGTAGAATGATCAATGAATGGACTTAATCATTATACAACAAACTAGTATGGAACCCGTGCGATGCACGGGATATAAATACTCTTTGTTTTATCCCGTGCGATGCACGGGATATAAATACTCTTTGTTTTATGTTGCAAAATGAAAAACATGCTACTCTAAGAAGTATTTTATCAAATAAATAAAAATTTTGATATGTGTTATGATTTTGAATACAAATGTAAAGCTAACAATTTTAAGATTAATTTGGCATAAGAAGCGATATCAAATAAATAGATGTAATAAATATAGTTGGAATAGATAGTTAAATTAATTTTTGAAAGCGTTCTAAAATATTCTGGAAAGTATAATTCTAAAAAATTATGGAAAGTATAACTATTGTAGGAATCAATTCTAAAAAATTCTGGAAAGTATAACTATTATTGTAGGAATCAATTTTTTAAAAATTATTTCTTATTTTTGGTATGGCATTCTACAACAGAAAATGATAATGCATGAATTACTGATATAGAATAAGACAAATATTTTTTAAAATAACATCAAAGTTAATTTGCTATTATTGCAAGTACAAACATAAGAAAGATATTATAAAAGGAAAAACTCACAGATTTTAAGAACTGAACAGATCAGTAAATTTGTAAGTACCAACACAATAAATTTGATTCACTATCACAGGCTGAACACGTATACCTCATAACCTACATCACATAGTTATCTTTTATTTTTCTAGACCTATCTCGGTTCAAGGCTTATTTGTCCCTATCTTAATAATATCTAACTTTTGCTCGATCATTCATAATGTACTTTGTAATACCTGTGTATTTTTTAACCAAAAAAACATAATAATAACTGCATAAAGGCATAACAAAAGATGGGCGATGCTCAAGGTTGAATCATACAACCATTAAGCAAAAAGTCTGAAAACGCCTAACTGGACATGGCTCAACCTAAGTAGACGATGGACGCCCATCTGCTCCAAGCCTCCAAGAGACTGCCTGACCCGACAATTTAGAGGAACCCTAAGTATCACTTCAACCGCCGCATGGTTGAGGGGCAAATCTGAGATATAAGTGGACGTCCCATCTTTGCCCGACCCATCTTTGTAATACATGTGTAATTTGTAGAATTTTTTGCTTAAAATTCAATCAATTCTAAACGTGTAAAACTATTACATCAGTTTGCTGGTAATGTCATTTGACTTTGTTCGTAATAGCTTTCTCTTGACCGAAAGTGTTGTTGCTATTGTTGATCAAAGCCACGATGGAGACAATCAGACCAAAATACACAAAACACAAAATATGAAATTTGTATCCTCAATTCCTCACCTCAAATTCGCAGTCAATCTTGCTTTGATTTCTGGAGAGCAAAGGAAGCCGTATTTTTATATTTCAACATACTTTCTTAATTACAACCCCAAACCATATTTTTATATATTCGAGGAATAATAAGCGGTTATCACTGCCAACTGTCTGCAAGTGGGTGGATAATCCGTTCCACCATTTTAGAAACTGCTCCGTATTTTTTAGTCAACAGTTACGAAGTATTTAACAGGGATTTGCGCGTGTATTCAATAGGCGGGAATAGTTAATTGACAGACGATTCCATTGTTAAATATATAAAGATGAAATACGAGGACATGTGGTTGTAAGGTTTGTAGCTTCCAGAAAAATTTAACCTGGTGCTAGTTCAAGACCAAGAAGATATTTTAGTGTCCCAATTCAAGGTCTTTGATATGAAAGGTGTTACCGTGATAGGTTTTGATCTCTTGAATAGCATGTAAATGGGAACTCACTGCGATAATAACATGCATCAACATATAACTATAATGCCTTAAAGTGTCCATTTGCGGTTTTGATCTCTTGAATAGCATGTAAATGGGAATTTGCTGCGATAATAACATGCATCAACCTATAACTACAATGCCTTAAAGTGTCCATTTGCGGTTTTGATAAAAAGAGAAGGGTCTAAGTTAACCGTATGGAACCCTTCACTGATCAAGACATTTGTATGTTTCAAGTGCCATTGTTTCATGTCTTGTTTATGTCCATGAAGTGACTTAGTAAGCTTGCAAACATGATTTGGGCAGCCAGGTTCATAACCTGTTGGTGTCATGTACACATCTTCATGGAGATATCCATGGAGAAAATCATTGTTGACATCCATTTGACGTAAAAATTATCATTTGGATACGAAAATAGAAAGGGGAGTCTGAATGGTAGTAAGTTGTGCCTCTGGTAAGAAGGTGTCTTAGAAGTCAAACCCTGATTGTTATGTGAAAACTTTAGCAACTAGTCTTGTACCATCAATTCTATATTTCATTTGAAAAACCCATTTAAAGCTAATAGGAACCTTTTCGAGAGGCAAAACAATTAAAACCCAAGCCTAATTCTCTTCTAGAGCAGCAAGCTTAGCTTTCATGGCATCTTTCCGACATTGATTCTTAATAGTTTGGTTATAGATCTTTGGATAATGAGATTGAGATGTTTGTGTAATAAAAGCTTTGTCGAAATGCTTTAGCATATGAGTAGATATTATAGAAGAGATGATGTGGATTTGTATGAGATGAGACATAATAGACATAATGCTCATCAATACACAAAAGGGATGACACCCCATCCCTGAGGGCTCCCAACCCCGTCCGGACAGTACGTTGGGAGGATGTAAATTGGACTATAATCCCAATCTGACAGATAGAGAGTGGGGCTCTGCCCCGGTACTTGCAGAGACCCTATGCATATTTTAGCATAGTAACCTCTCATCGCAGTTGCCGGGATTTGAATCCGGGACCTAACCATTGTGACACTCCCTCACTACCAGTTGAGCTACGTCCACCGGTATGCTCATCAATACACTCGTCTATAGACACATGCAATGCAATGGTATTGTCTTGAAGTTGAGTGTTTAAATCAAGAGCAGTGGATTCAAGGATTAGACCCCTGCAAGTGGGATGATCAGAAAGCAAGAGCACTGGATCAAAGGATTAGATCCTTACAAGTGGGATGACAGTAGGGCTGGCAATATCACCTGCACCCGCGGATACCCGATCAACCTGAACCGAAAATATGGATGAACACCCGAAAAATTATGGATGAAAAATGGATGACGGGTGGATTGAAAGACGGGTTGGATCGGGTGTGGATGAACACTCATCCAACCCATCACCCGACCCGTCACCCACTCCATCCACCCACCCGCTAACCCGCATGTAAATGTATATATAGTAATTAATATTAATATATTAATATATATGTATTTGTTAATGGAAAAGACACATATTTATGAATTGGTGAAATAAAGACAATTGAAGAGTTTCAAGAAATGACAATTGAACTACAAATATAGTTTTGTTCTGATGCAGAAATGTAGAATTTGAAAGTTTGAAGAAGCTTTATGTCTATTTTGTTTGACAATCAGTTCTTTCTTTATTGGCAGTGAATTAGTGATTGTAATATACGTAATTGTTCAAGTTTTTGTTGTTATTATTCAATGGAATCTTAATTTTTGGTTTTTAATTGTCATGATTTATCTTTATAATAATTTATTTATTGTCTTTCAAGTTAGACTATATATACTCACTCGTTACTCACCCGATCCACCCGAGAACCCATTCATGATGGATGGGTTGGATGTGGATGTAATTTTTAATGGATGATGTACGGGTGGATGGATTATGAAAAATTAACGGGTGGACGTGGATGAGCCTGCACCGGTATAAATCTGACCCGCTGCCACCCCTAGATGACAGAAGGATATTCGGTAATTGATGGAACATTGACCAAGTCTTGATATATCAATGCATGAGTCACCAAAAGGAAATATATGCTCATAAAATTGTACACTCTATAGCTTGTAAGCCTTTGTCCCTTTTTGTAATCCCATGAATATACATTTGTGAGCTCTTGGAC